AATAACATGATGTAGCTGCAAAAATTGCATCTCTGTTTCCCCTTTTCCTGGATTTAAATTTTGAGCATGGGATTTGAATAATAAGTTAATAAAATTATTATGAACAGCAACCCCAAAGCTTCAGCCATATCTTTGGACAGATGAGAGAGAAGCCTTTCAGAGGTTAATTAATCAGCATGAGCTACTTTCTCAGTCCTAGCAATCTCAAAGGGGCCCAGTATGAAAGTGGGATATGAAGAAAAAGAACTGTCCCTGCCCTCATTGTAGTTTGAGTTGATTGTGAAAAAGATGAGAACAATAAGAAAATATTTATATTCTACTTATGTGTTAGATTCTATTGTTTCTACTATTTAATGTATATCCTTGGGAGATGAATTTGAATATTTGTACACTTGGTTAAAATTACTCAGGGAACAATCTGGAGAAAATTAGATGTATCAGCAGCTAACACCGGTGGGTGAATATTGAACTTGAAGAGGTCACCACACATTGAACTATGTTTTAAGATTTCGGATTTCAATGGTCATCTTTTTAATGGTCTTTTTTTATGTTCTGATTAAAGGATTTGGAGTTTTTTCTTGACTCAATACTCAGACTTGATGAAAAGCACTTCTGAAGGGAAAACTGCAGCAGACTTTGTAGGAATTCCTCTTTAGTCTTCTTCAGTCACTGACGAGCTCTGTGTGCCCTCTCTGGCGAGCTCTGTATGCCCTCTCTAGCTTCTGTAAACTTTGCTTCTAACAGATGGCACCTGAGACTTTCATAATAAATGCCTAAGGCACCACAGCCCATTTAGTGTAGGGAAAGCCAGAGGTGCCTGGGAGTTTTACTTCTTCCTTCTTCTACATCCCACAGAACCCCCACTCCCAGCCCCCAGTAGACAATGGATGACTGGAATGGGAATACCAAAGCCCAGTTTCTTTGACTTGAGACAAAACCAACTCTGAGGTTTATTTATACTCTTGAGCTCCCTCACTGGATCAGCCCGAGTCTGGAATTATCTGAAATTGCACCTTGCTTAGCTTCTTCCCCATCCCCACCCTGCTTTTCTCACTCATTCATTGGTTTCTCCTTAACAAATCACTTGCACTTGAGTCCTTGATTCCTTATCTGATTCTGGAAGAACCTGGCCTATGATGGAAGCCTTAGGTCCTGTGCCAAGACCAGTTCCTGTGGGTTGGTGGTAGATGTTCCTGTAAGGTGGAAGGGGATTTATAACAAAGAGATATGAAGAAGAAAGCTTTAGGCTTGACCTTCTCTGGGGGGAAAAAATCATCTCTTTCATACTTCTTCTGTGGATGTCCTCCAGACTTTCCTATGCTCTACCATAGTAATTCGTCTTCCTCCAGACCCAAATCTCCTTCTTAAGCAGTACATTCCCCCATATGCAACCCACTCTCAAGTCCTATTAATTCTCCCTCCAACAATATTTAGAATTAATTTCTACTGCTACTACTTTACTCCAAGTCACCATTATTTCTCAACTGCCTTATTCATCCATGTATTTATTCTTCATACGAAACCAAAAATGCAACCCCTTGCCACTGAGTCAGTTCTAACTCATAGATACCCTATAGAACAGAGTAGAACTGCCTGATTGAGTTTCCAAGGCTGTAATATTTACATAAGCAGATTGCCACATCTTTCTTCCACTGAACGGCTGGTAGGTTCAAACTGCCGACCTTTCCATTAGCAGCCAAGCACTTAACCACTGTCCACCAGGGCTCTTTGATTCTTCATACCTAATTGAAATTGGACAGTGAATTCACTGTAACATGAAGATTTTTCTTGGGTAAAGCAAATAGAAATAGATAAAGTGATAACTTTCAACTTTGAGGTAAATGTCCATAGGGCCTGGCATCAGGACCCCTCTTGACTTAACAAAAAATTTTTAAAAAAAATATGCCTGCACTTGAAGTTCCACCCCTAGAGAAGGCTCCCCCTTGCTTTCTGTAGCTCTTGGTTTCTGGCAAGTGGCACTGACTCCCATGACCATATAACGGCTGCCCCACTGATTTAAAGCTTCACATCCATCTACATTATGTCGGTACTAAACACCCTTTTTCTAATTAAAGCATTGTGGGCATTTTCATTCAGTTTTTGTACATTTTCAATACTTACTGTGGCAACCTCCAGACTCACTGAGCTGCATGCCTTGACAGTCTATATTGTCTCTCCAGGTACCAAGTGATGTTCTATTAGTGTTCTGGTTTTAAAGTTGCATATATTTTGAGTGGTCTGCCCTAACCCTATTATATGTGTGTGTGTGTGTGTGTGTGTGTGTGTGTGTGTGTATAGAGCCCTGGTGACGCAGTGGTTAAGAGCTATGGCTGCTGACCAAATGGTCGGCAGTTGGAATCCACCAGCCACTCCTTGGAAACCCTTTGGTACAGTTCTAGTCTGTCCTGTAGGGTCACTATGAGTCGAAATCAACTCGACAGCAACAGGATTTTTTGTTTTTTATATATGTATATATCAGTACCTAACCACAACAACAAATATATATATATATACACATATA